AGGCTGGAGAATATATGAGATAAATAACCAGTGATATTGAGCGCATTCATCATCCGCTGACAGTAAATTCACACAAGAAAATTGACATTAGCTCATAAACATCTATCACCGCACTGTGTATTTGGCAACACACGTTCCGGCGGGCGCTGCAGGAGGAATGTGAGGCAGATGCAATGGAGCAGAAGGGGGCTACATTATGGTATTTTTATGTTTTATAGCAGTGCAGCTCTCTCCTCCTCTTTCTCTCTATCATTTATGTCTTCCTCTTACTTCCTGATTCATTTCCAGTCTGCAAGCCTTTTGTATGTTTGTCCAGTTAACAATTATCTCTCCTCCCTTTGGTTAAAGATCTTATATTAAACAAAATTCACTTTAGTGAGCGTTTTGCCATGTTAGAATGGTGTTATCTCCTCAAAAACAGACCTGGATTTGTGTGTTGCTTCATTCGCACATGTTTTAGTAGTCCTGCGTTATTATTCTGTCTACATCTCCGAAGATCAGAATTCTCTTTTGCACCTTGCAATGTCATGTAGCTGTAGTTTTCAAGTTAACAGCATTTTTTTTCCCCTTTTGTTTAATAGAGATAGGCAATTCCAGGGCTGTAATTAACTAAATGATTCTAGTGAAGTTGTATGTAGTGGAGCACTTTTTATATTACAACATGACATCACAAGGTAGAACAGAATGTTTTAAGTTTGAGAGAAGAACTCTAAATATGCAGGATTTGTGTGTTAAGTGTATGAATGAAACAACACACAACTTCAGGTATGTTTTTGATGAGGAAACAGCATGATAAATCAGAAAATAGTCTGATGTGGTTCCTTTAATAGGAGGCATGGAGGTTTGTTGTAAAAAGGGAAATCCCAGGAGCTACCAAGGCCTGCTTCATGCCCACTGGACTGGAAGGAAGCCAAAAATTCAGTTGCTCACACCCCCACGCATTATCCACAAGCCAGGGAAGAAGATTCAAGATGGATGCCTTCAGGGCTCAACAGCTGTGTAACTTATACTATTGTAAATCTGGAGCAGAGGAGGTTTGCATCACTGCTGCAAGGCTCAGCTTTCACCCCATAATAATAAAGTAAAGGTGATGTTCAATTTGCACACAACATTATCCGTAAGACACATAAATATTACTCTGTCCTATTCTTGTTTTAGGAAGTGATAGCAGTGGCATTATATTATTTTGTGTATTCTACTCAACGTGCAAACTGAGCATTCTTAGATATTTGAAGCTCAGTGATACATAGGGCCTCATGCAACAGTCTCCCAGAGAATAGAAAAAAAATCTATTATCAAAATAAGAAAACTGTAATGCAGAAAAAAAATAAATAAATAAATTTAAGATCTCTCCAAGCAATGTTCAGGAACTGATCAATTTCCTTTTTAAATAAACCCAAAATGCAGTATGGCAGACACCTGTTTTACTTACACTTTAAAATGTGTGAGTATGTGTTTTAGTTAAAAATGATAACATTTTCTTCACAATATCTTCTCGCACTGTCATCCTGCGCTCATACTGTGAAGCTGTAGAGGTCAAGGTTCAAACTGTGAAAGCGGTAAATGTCAAATGCCTCTTCACCTACTGGGAATGTCACCTTGATTCATCTTTGGGGAAGTCAACCATCAGCAACATGAAATACCGGAAGTACTTAGAGGAAGTAGGGGCGATAACTGGGCGAATGAGTACTCGAAAATACCGTGTTGCGTAACATTTGGACATTGCGTAATACATTTGATACCGCGTCACTCACTCATGCATGTTCAGATCGCTGGGTGAGGGATTTTAAGTTCATCTGCGATACAACATGGAAGTAGAGGAGAGCTTATGGCCCTGTCTCCGAGCAGAAGATGGAGAATGACTGAGAGAGGCAGCCAATGGGGTGGAGGGGAGCGGTAGCTGGAGATGCCCGTGCAGTGTGTATGCGAGATGGTGGGTGGGCGAAAAGCGTGGTCCGTGCTGGTATTTCTGGGCTGTCACATCGCGTTAGTGTGCAGCCAAGCTCGACTGCTGAGCGCACCACTCTGGACAGGCCTGCAACACACCCGGGTCGCGCGCTCACACACACAATTGAATCCACAAGGACGCACGGGGCCTACACTTGAGTGGTCACATATACGCCGTAATGTCCCACGAGGCCCGCAAGGACATCCAAAAACAAGTGAGCACCGAAGGAGCTCTGACAGAAACCAGGGGAGAGACCTCAGCCCCTCAACCTTACCCCCAACCAAGCAGGCGCTCTTTCAGCTCTGTGCGTAACTCCACACCTGGCATCACTAAAATGTACTTTTATTCATAAGACCAGTAGTTTTTGCCCTCAGAGAGTATGTTCTAAGCTTGTTTGGTTTCCAGCCTCTTTTACATTTACAAATTGATGCAGTCAGGTCAAATAAAAGTGCTCTAAATGTTTTCCAAAACAGATGGTGGAAATAGTGGACTGCCAGTGTCGTGTCATGCATTTAAACTGCTCTAAAATATAAAGACAAGCACGCCAGGAGATTAGATGAGCAAATTAATGTATTAAAGTACTGTGATTTTTTCCCCTATAAATTAGATAAGGGTACTACAAAAATGTTAAAGTCCCAGACACAACTCTCCCCCTTTCATTAAAATAGGTTAAAAAAATACATTTTGCGTGGAAACAAGTAAATATGTGCAGTTATTAGCTTATAAGCTCGAGGGCAAAAGGCTTTCCAGATGTGAAGAACACGCAGAGCAAAAAAAACAAAACAAAAAACATAACAACAGACTATGCATCTGTTTCCAACGAACATACACACTTTATGCATTAAATTAAAATAAAGAATTAAAAATAACCTATGACTGTATGATATGCATCTCTAAAACAATCTCAATATGGCTTTGAAAGACTGTTCTAAAGAAATGAGACTGTTTCCAAATTGCGCCCTCTTTTGGCAGATAAAATATAGGGGAAAATATATGGGATGTTTTACTATAATGCTGGACCTCATGTGTCTAAACTGTGTGAGCAGTTAAATGGACAAAACAAGAGGCACGCTGACAAGATTTGTCATAGGACCAAGGTTAACCAGTCCTCACAAACAAGTGAGCATTACCCAGCAGGTCAGAGAGGTCACTGCTGTTGAACTAGTCTGAAGTTTTCAACGCAAATTATTGAATTCAAATGATGATATGTTCTCTTTCATATCAGAGGCCATGGACTAATAATGCTATTGTAACAAGTCTATATTAAGATATCTAGTACTGTGCACTGGATGTCACACAGGTTAGAAAAAAAACTGTTCACCTGCAATGTAGGAAGTTGCTTCAGGAAGGGCATTTACATCGGGGATAAAACCAGTGTCAAATACAAATAAGTGTTTTGACAGATTAATAATTGGACATAATCTGTCAATACATGTCTATAGTTGGAGGCAAGACTGACTGTGATTGATCTGTACAAATTTAGAAGTATGTGTTGCTGCGATTTATTTGTTTGGGATAAAGCTTGTAGCTTCCAGTAATACATTGCTGTAGTTACAGAAATTCATACAAGTCCATATGTCCCATGTGGGGTATATACATGCCAAAGGTTCTGATGGTCCATCATCAACTCACCTTCTGGAGGACGCTTTGACAGTTGCTCAGGTCTGTTCTTGGACAGCTGTGAATGTGTTGTGAGTGATTGGTAGTGGTCGGAGATGTTGTTGGGGTAGTTTGACAGCCACCTCTCAGTCAGCACCAGGGCAGCTATGGCTAGAGAGGTGACTAATCACTGCCAATGTGGTTTACTGAAGCTTATAGCACAGTGTGAATCCTAAGCATTTATTTTACATAGTATACATAACTCCACACGTAAACACTAACCAAGTAATCACATTTAATTATGACTCATCATTGAATCTCAGTGACACAGGGAAATCTTTTGAATCACTAACTGTAAACTGTTAGTGACTATCTTATTTAGTTTTTGTGTGACCATTCCTGCAGAAATTCTCAGGATGTACAAAAAATGAACTTGTTTACTGCATCAAAAGGTAGTTGTGCCACCACTGTGCCAGTCTGCCAGACCAGAAATAACCCAAAACTGATAAACTGAGACTGAGTTGGTAGTAGCATGCTGTGTTGTGTGGTGTGGGAATGACTTTGCATTGCCTGAGTGCGCCTCTGTGAGTATGACAGGGAACACAGGTACAGCGCTGGGACCCCCTGAAGTGTCTCATCCAAACCGCAGATCCTGAGAAAGATGTTAGCGCTTCCATCTACTGCAAAAACAAATCGTGACCTACATTCCACTACATCTTGTGCCGTCATGCCTCCCTTCCCACATACAAAAAGAACATCTATACATTGAATCTCACATACAAAGGATGAAGAGACAAAAAGATACTGTGCTTTGACGTTAATCCTCATTGACTTCCTTGTTCCATTGAGGAGCTCTTGCGTTACATAAAAACATCTAAAATTCAACTGTGTGCACTTCAAAGGATTTACACATAGCTCTGAATCTGCATATGGGACATGTCCAGAGAACAGCAGGAGGCCTTTGCTGTTCAGAAATAGCCTTGAATTGTAAAGACAGGTCTAATCTAGGTAACCTTTTAATATATCAGGCTGTGATTTGTGATTAGAAAGTGTTGGGTTGGCCACTGATGTTATATAGGCCTATACTATATATATGACTGGCAACTAACAAATGAAGTCTTCTATATTTAGGGTTTATTTATATTTTAAAGACTTATTAATGTTTGTAATAGATTCAAATTTTTCCTGGTCCAATGTCTCCCTCTGCTGGTAGTTTAAAATATTGTCATGCACTTAAAACTGATGGAAAAATTGTGGCTACTCTTGTATAATAAAGTATTTAATTAATTTTAGATAGTCCAGCACAGAAACACAGCCTTGTTCATTTATTTATTTCAAAACTTCTAAGCAAGCAAGTAACATATTAGAGATTTACACAATTTTCATTTTTCATAAATCCAGAAATGTAGTTAACATTATGTAGTACATACCCATAAAAATGAGTGGGAAATGGCCACTGTATTCAGTTCATTTTTCAAAGAATTTATTACCTCCGCCAAGGAGGTTATGTTTTTGCCGGCGTTTGTCTGTTTGTTTGTTTGTCTGTTAGTAACATAACTTAAAAAGTTATGGACCGATTTTGATGAAATTTTCAGGATTTGTTGGAAATGAACTGATTTCATTTTGGGGGTGATCCGGAAGAAATCCTGGATTCTGGATCACTTTGAAATTTTAGTTAACATTGTGGTAAATGGGGCCAAAAATTTTGTTTCTCAATATCTCGGTTAATTATTGACCAAACCCCATGAAATTTGACTGAGGGATGGACAATGGGATCCTCTTTCATATTCCAAAGGCTGATCCGGATCTGATGCAGAAGACTGATTTTATCGCAATTTATATAAAAAATGGGGGTAGTCCTTGGCGGAGGTCTGCGCTCTCTGAGTGCTTTTCTAGTTTATTTATTTATTAGCTTTGAATTGGGGCCAAATTATCCCCAGTGGAACTAAAATATAAAATTTCAAAAAATAAAAAATAAAACAAGACAAAGTAGATAAATAAATCAGAGAAATAAGGCCTAATTCCAAGCTGGACATCCCTTGATCTGGAAACAAAGGAAAAGTTTGAAAACAAATTTGACTGAAATTTAGGAGTTTTTTCCTAGTTGATTGTTTCAGTGACATAATGACTCATCTGAAGAAACAATGTGTGGCATGTCCTCTTCTCATCAAAGCCTTTCTGTGCAACTTCCTGTTCTAAAATGAGTGAAAGTCACACCATTCCATACTCAAAGATGTACTGTAGGCCTGTATAGAACAAATGTGTTTTCCAAAAGGGTGCATAATAATTCTAATTTTAGGAGTAGTAAGTTCATTTAAGTGAGTTAAGTTAGTTAAAGCAATATTAGTAGGCCTACACTTTAAACTTTGAAATTGTAGAATGGGCAGACTTGGACAAACGTTATGAATACACAAGGGTAATTACTTGGATACAGTAGCTCACACATTATAATAGCAAAGAGCAAAATATAAACAGTGAAAAAACATCTAAATAATTAACATGGCAAAAACAGCAAAGACGTATATTAAAAATAGGCTATATATGAGATGAAAATGGTGACTTTGACAAGATGTAAGATATCCATAACATAAGGGTAAGTTGTGCAGTTGTATGGAGAATGATGAATATGATGAATGCAAACCAGTATCCAGTATTTAGTAGTATTAAATTACACTGTGAGCATTCGTGTGCTTCCAGTCCTATGTTTTTGTCCTTGATTAGTGCCCTTTCTGGGGGTGTCACTCCTCAGAGATGCTCCCTTTAGCTTGACACTGTTCTGATCATTAACTTGAATCTTGCTCCCTTCATCCTCCTGCTTAAAATTGCGCAGATTTTGACAGTCACAGGCTTGCTCATGTCCCTGGCTTGTACAAAACCACTTCATTGAGCCGTAGAAGAGTTCTGCACAGCTGGAAATCGCTGCCACCAGCCCCACGATGAAGTAAAAGCATAGGAAGACTGTCTTTTCAGCAGGACGTGATGTGAAGCAATCTACAGTGTAAGGGCATGGGAAGCGGCTACAAGGGAATTGTGCTTCAACTTTGAAACCATATAGCAACCATTGGCCAACCAAAAAGCCAACTTCAGCAGTAAGTCTGAAAGCTACATTGATCAAGTAGAACCTTCGTATTCTGGCCTCCTCTCTGTAGTCAATACAACTACTTTGACTGCTCTTGGATCTACCAGTCTTCTTGCTGTGATGGTGCATAGCATACATAAGAAAAAGCAAGGAAGGAGTAGCAATTAGAACAATGTGGAAAACCCAAAATCTGTACTGTGAAATAGGGAATGCCATGTCATAGCACACTTGCTTGCATCCGGGTTGAAGGGTGTTACAGGCAAATTCTTCTTGTTCATCCTCGAATAAGTCACTAGCCACGGTTCCGAGGATTAAAATGCGAAAAACCAGCATGAGTAAAAGCCAAAAGCGTCCCAGCATAGGGGAGTGGGCTTGGAGGCTGTCAAATAGCCCGCCGAGGAAGGCCCATTCACCCATACTGATTTAGTTAAAACTCTTTAATTAAAAAATAAAATAAAAAATCTTTAACATCACCCAAATTGAGAACTGGTTGTAGCACAGACAGGTGTAGGTCCCTTTGGTTCCTTCATGTAGTCACAAAAGTATCACCTGAAATCAAGAATAATAAAAATAAAAAATAAAAAATGCAATTTGAGACAAGAAGCAGAGACAACCTGAATAATATTACCTTTTTAAAAATGTATTCTTCAGAGCTGCTCCTACATGCTCCAAATGAAGAACTGGTTGTACAACTGCTTTCAGAACAGTTTAAAGATAAGCAACTCAAAATGCCAAGTAAAGACATAAGAGGTTAGACATATTTTTCACAAAAATGCATCGACTTACAATTGATTTGATATTGTAAGCTCGATGATACCACAAGCACGGTCAGTTTGCTCCTAATAAGCATGTGTTTGAGCTTTTCTCCTGACTTTAATTGAGTGGGCGGCAACACGAGGAAATTCCTGTTCTAATCTGGACCCATCAAGAAGCCCAGACACGGCTCATGTTTACCCAAGAATGGCAAAGTCTTGATGAACAGTTCAAAGAGTTTAGGAAATGGCAGGAAGAATCTGAGACAAGGGACTACCAGTCATTCAGTGTGTTGTTTTTATCTCTCACCAATCTACTTTACAGTGGATACAGAAAGGCTTCTTAATTCTTTCTAAAAGTCAGATACTTGATTTGAATAAAAATATTTCTTAAATGATCTGCCAATTACCCAGCTATAGAAATAAAACAAACCCAATATCCTATTTTTATTGTACCCATATTGCCCATTTTACCCTATTTTCTGATGTTTTTTTCCCCTCAAAGACATACCCAGTTTTGTTTTAATTCACACGTTTAACACAAAAGCCCTGCATATTTAGTCTTAGTTTGTCTCTCAAATATAAAATACTGTTCCCACTATGTGATTTCATATAACACAGGAACTGCTTGTGTTTTTAAACTCCTTACATCTTTACTAGAATCATTTGGATCATTTCAGCCCTGGAATTACCAATCTCTGCTAAACAAAAAAGGTAAAAGGCAGTTATTACCTTGAAAACTACCTCTTGATGACAAGGTGGAACAGAGCATTTTGAGCCATAGACAGACTAATAATAAAGGATTACTCAAACGTGTGCATGAAACAAAATACAACTCCAACTATGTTTTGATGAGGTAACAACATCACAACATGGCTAAAAGCTCAAGAGTCAAATTTGCATAATACAGGACATTTAGAACATATACAAAAAGCTTCAACACAAGTGATACATTTGTGATGAAACAGTGTTAGCTTTATTAATTAAATGAACAGCCATAAAAATATGTACAAGACAAACAATTTAACGCACAAGTATTTAAAACTACTAATAACTTCATGAGAAAATATTTACAATTCTATATTTTGAATACAGTCTATTTGTGCAACAAGTTAGAGTAGAGTAAACCATATTTTAAAAATATATATAAAATGGTGAAGAATCTGTTGTCTACATTGTAACCAGTGAGATTATTCATCAGAGTCTGAATCCAGGACGTAATTTGTTTTCTTAGTTCGAGAGGATTTCACTTGTACTGGTGGTTCTGCCTCAAAACTCTCATCATCCTCCCACTTTTTTGTTTTCTGAAGAAAAAAGAAAAAAAAAAGTTACAATGACAATTTTGAACCAACATAATAATTGCGCAAGTTGTGGTAGCTCACCTTGTTTCCAGCTGTGTTTTTAGCTTTGAGTCGCACCATGAGGTTGTCCGATTCACTGTCTGAGTCATCGCTCATTGCCTGCTTGCGTTTGAGTACCTTGTCCTTCGGAGCAGGTGCTTTCACTTCAGCCTCAGAGTCACTGGAATTGAATGAAGGCACTTTCTTGTCTGTCATCTTGGACGTAGCTTTGGGTTTTGAGAGGGCATCCAAGATGGAGGGCTGCTTTGCGTCTAGGAGAGCAAATACACATGACACTGACAGGAGACTACCTTGGCTACTGTGAGGAATAACACTGCACTTTACATTGTTTCAAGCAATCAACAGATTGACTCATGTCACATGATAAAATTTCATTGAATATTGCGATTTTATGAGTTGCAATTATTGACATCCTGACCAACAGTGAAATCCTTAAAATTACTTTCATTCACATTGTCTAATACGTTGTCCTTACTTGGGTATGTCCTCATGTTCTTAAACACATCATAAATCTTTAGTTTACTCAAAGATTTGTATTTATTTATTTATTTTTTGAGGTATGATTTAATGGTGACCTGGGTATGATTATCAGTTAACCTAATTATTTTGATATCCCTAACTGACAGTCTTTACTTACCTCCTAGTGTCTTCTTCTTGGGTGCAGGAGCTTTCTTGGCCCCAGCAGGTTTCTTTGCTGCAGCCGTCTTTGCTTTAGGTTGAGCCACTGGTTTGGATGGAGCCTCTTGACCGTCAGAAGCTGCAATATCAGAATAAAAAATTGCTATTAACCCTAGTTTCATTACATGCATTAGCTGGCAATTTAAATGTAACTGGGATTAAATACATACAATTGACTTTGACCTCTGTTGTTTTAGCCATCTTGCTCTTTGCAGGTTTCTTACTGTAAATTAAAAAAATATATATACATACATGTAACATTCATACAACTTTTTATCATCTTGTCTCTACTCACGCAGCTGGTTTGCGTACAGGAGAGTCCATATCGCTTTTGTTAAGGCTAAAATCCGGTGCAAAGCTGTCATCATCACTCATTCCCATTTTTTTGCTTGTTTTGTTTGTCTTTCCCCAGTCATCAAAATCATCCTCACTATCCTCATCGCTGGACATGCTGTACTTGACCGCAGCTTATGAAACAAAAACACATGCATTAACCTTGTTTTTATTTTACGTTGGATGTTGCTAGGTGCAAAATTGCCCACAGGAAATTGCGAGTCATTGTTTTTGAAAATATTTGGGGTTTGATTGCATCTCAAGGAAGCAGACAAAATCCCAGAACACTAAAATAGGCTAAATTAGTTACCTTTAGCTTTGCGTACAACTCTTTCTCTTGAGGCTGCTGGTTCTTTGGTTTCCATGGAGTCCTCAGATTCTCCCTCATCATCTGACCACTTATTTTTCTTCAGTTTATTTTCCGCAGGTTTAAAGGAAAGAGTGGTTTGTTTTCCAGTCTTTGATTGGGCTGAAATGAAGTACCACATCAGCCATTTTGTCATCTAACATCAATCTCTTTTCCATCATTTACCCTTCTCCTTAGTTGTAGTTTTGGTTTTCTTCGTTAGTCGTGCTGCAAGTCCCATCTCCTCAGACACCTCTACAGGATCTCCATCCGCCACTTTGGGCTTTTTGGGGGCCCTTGCTTTCTTAGTGGGGGGTACTACAAGGCCACTCTCTGTGGGTACTTCTATTGGCTCTCCATCATCCCCAAATTCCATTTTCATCACTATATCTTCACCCTGCAATTACAAACATACCATTTAGCAAACATGCATGTTATATGGGTAAAAAAAAGTGTATCCATCAGTCCAAACCTTGACTCTCTTGCCCACTCCTTTCTTTTTGTGGGCCTCAGCCTTCATTGTGCTGGTGACCCGGGGAATCACACGTCGGCCTTGGGGGGTAGGAAGAGTCTCCTTTTTGACTTTCATCAATTTGCCTTTTGCTCCCTTTGCAGGTGCAGCAGCTTCTTCCTTCTCTTTGGCTTCAATGCGCTAAGGAAGACATTTCAAATTTTAAGGCATAAGGATAAGAATGAAAATAAAACAAAGTTCCACTCTTTGTACTGCAACATTGAAAGTTACCTCTAATTCTTCAGAGAAAGCAGCAAGATCTTCTCTCCATAGATCAGATGGAGACTTGTTCTTTAGCGTGTTCAGCTCTGCGCACTAAATAACATCCAGCAGTTAATACATTTATTTACTTAAATACTGGTGTTCATGTGTTAACACAAACAATGAGATGAATGTAAAGCATCCTACCTTGGCATCCCTTTGTTTGCAGAGCTCATCCTTCTTTTCTTTGGTCAAGTACCACATAGGCATAGACAGAAGGTAGTTGTAATCTGGCCCAGTTGTGTCTTCTTTCTCCTTCTCCTCATCTCCATCTTCTTCCATCTCCTCTTCATTCTGTAATAAACCAATTGTATTTACTTTAAACTTTTAAACTTTAAACTATTATCAAATAACACTGAATATGACAGTTGACCTAATACCTTCTCTTGTGCTTGTTTCCAGGCTTTAACTGGGTCAGAATCGTAGCCCATCTCCTGTAGCATTCGGATCAACTCCTTCTTTGGCTTGTTTTCTAGATGCAAATAGAAAATCATGATCAACTTTCTGTCTGTATTATCAGCTGTTGTTACACCCAAGATTGTCATCTACCAACCGATAACCAAGGTCCCTTGGATCTTCTCTAGGATGAAGCGGGCCTGGTTGCTGAGCTTTGAGTTCTCTGCTTTCAGCATGCCTGTCATCCAGTCTTTCCTGAGCACATAGTACTTCATTCTCAACTCAAAGAAATCCTTCATTATTTCTTGTACTGTCTCGTATTTCTTCAGACTGCCCACATGGTCAAACAGGACCTAAATCACAAGCATTTCTGTTAAGTACATTCACCCTGCCAAACTGGCCACTCACTTGTAATGAGGATTACCATGGAGTTACAGGTGAGGCTGTTTTGTAGCTTAAAGACTTTATGAAGTCCTGCAGCTTCAGCCTCCCTCAGTTTCTCTGGGGTCATCTTCACCACAAAACGCACTGTGGTGTCTGTGTGGTAGTCCTTGTAGTCTGTGATCAGAGCAGGGACCTTTTCTGTGCCATTTAACATTGGCTCCAGTACATTCTCCTTGTAGGTCTGGATCAAAGCAGGCATATAATCAAAAATGTCTTCTTTAGGAATGTTCCTTTGTGCATTTGTAAAACAACTTCTTTAACAAACCTGTGTCCATATTTTGATGGGTAATTCAGAGATCTCAATGGTCTCTGAGTCAATGATAGAGACTTCTCCACTGTTCAAGTAACTGTTATCCATGACCTGATCTATTGTGCCCCTGAAGCCTTTGTAGCTTGGGAGCTGTGAAACAAAAACGTGTTTACTTTTATCCATATAAAAAAAAGATTCACCGAATAGTCACAGGGGAACACCATGGGCTGGGGCTCCTCTCCATTCAGCATGCGGTAGATGTTGGTGATGATCTCTCGGATGTCATAGTTGGGGATCTTGCTGGCCCACCCTGTGCCAATGCCGTCTGATCCATTCACCAGCACTGTGGGGATGATGGGAATGTACCACTCGGGCTCAACACGCTGGTTATCATCATAGTTGTACTTCAACAAGTTGTCATCCATTTGAGGGAAAACAAGGCGAGCCAGAGGACTTTAAAATGAAAGAAAAATGATTAGCGCTACAAAGGACAGCCTGGGTACAGGTTTAGATTTAGTACCTGAGCATAGTGAAAATATATCGAGGGCTGGCAGAGTCTTTGCCACCATGCAGCCGAGTACCAAACTGACCAAGAGGCTGCAAAAGATTCAAGTTGTTGCTGCCAACAAAATTCTGAGCCAAACCAACAATGGTCATCATCAGGGAGCCCTAGTGAAGAAAAGAAATTATGTCACTAATGTTCATGATGCAAGGCATAACAATGAGCAGCATTTTAACAGTTAAAAGAAAGTCACCTCTCCATGATGGTATGCAGACATCTCTGCCACAGAACCAGCCAACTGTGCCACCTTGACCTCACGTTTGTCATTCCTCTTGAAGCAACAGAACATCACCTTCCTCTGGCCAGGTTTGAGGCCTGATATACAGTCATTCTAGTTAGTATAAAGCAACTTTTGCCAATTCTGTTACCAGGTAACATTATGCTTACCATCCACAAGGCAAGGAATAGACCTTTCATTGTCAGAGTTGGAGAAAAGGACAAGTTCTTTGTTGACAAAGTCGTTGTAGGAAAGAGATTTGGTGGCCTGACCATACAGGTAGTCCTGTTAGAATAAGCATGAAATATTAATAACATGTGGCAACAATAAAATTAATAAAGAGTCAAAGATTTCAATATACCTCTGGCAAGTTGTGCTCTCGGCGCTGTCGCCTGTCAGTCATGAACTTTGTAAGCCATTCTTTACGCTCATCACATTTTTTCTTGCTAAAGGCCTAGGAAAACAATACATCCATCAAAATCTCTAATACATGTAACATTAATTCAAGTATAACTTAACACTGTAGTTGAAAAACCCACAAGTGTAATAGCTTCATCATCCTCAGGCCCAGAGTATTTAAATGGAATGCGATGTCTATGCATATCGGAGAAGTATTCCTTGGCCTCCTGTGATGTGCTAGTACCCAAACCTACATTGTCAAATCAAATGAAATATTAGGCTAATAAAAGGCTCACACACATGTGAGACCATGTCATAGTTCTGGTCATAAAAGCTGCTTACTTGGGTGGAATACTACCACACAGGGGTTTAGAACAAACCTTTGTAGTATTTGATTTTCCAAGATTTGATGTTTGCCTGGCTTTCTTTCCATTCATTGAACTCTGGAATACTGTAAAAGGACAGCTGTGTTTTCTTGTGGGATGCCTAAAAACAAAAAAGAAAAACTTGAGAAATGTTATCAGTGACAAAGAGAGCTTTTTTGCCACCAGATGGCAGACTTTGCAATGGAATTGTTCTGTGATTGTTACTGGTAAATCCTAACAAATACAAGAAAGATGAACAAATAACAGCATTCCTCAGTTATTAGACAAGTGCAGCTTGCCTTGATAATGGGAGTTATGAACTCTTCCAGAAAGTTGTGACGCAGCAGTGAAGGCCAGTTGTGGTGAATGAAGTTGATGAGTAGGCCTTTAATGTGGGAGCCATCTTGATCCTGATACATTATAAAAATGCATGAGCCAAATTGGTTTATATAACACTTAAACATTTACATTAGTGATAAATAAAACTATACCTGATCTGTCATAATCATGAGCTTGCCATACCGCAAGGTCTTCAGAGATTCAGGGTCAGTGTAGTTTTTCTTGTACTGCAGTCCAAGAATTTTTATGATATTGTTGATCTCAGCATTCTCCATTATCTACAATACAGAAGTAGATTTTTGTTTAAAAAAAAAACAAAAACAAAAAAAGCTACCATATATCCTTCAATTTTGCAATTAAAGTGGTTTATTTAATAAGGGACCAACCTGTTTATGAGAGGCTTCTCGAACATTGAGCATTTTTCCTCTGAGAGGGAAGACACCATAGCGGTCCCTACCAATTACACCAAGACCAGACACAGCCAGTGTTTTGGCCGAGTCTCCCTCAGTGAGGATAAGAGTACAGCCAATGGAATTCTTTCCTCCTGCAAGAAATAAACCACAGTCAGAAGAAGTGGCAAAAAGCTTTGCTTAAACCTGAGAAGCATCTTAATACCCGCATCATTGGCATCATCCAGTTTCGGTACCCCTTTGATTTTTGTGTGTTTGACAGCAGAGCATTTCTTGTTGAGCTGTGTCTGAGCCTTAAATCTGACCCAGTTCATAACACTTTCCACAATGCCACAGGTGATAGCCTATGGAATTAGAACTGATGAGCTCATTGTAAATTACTGAAAAAGTAGCTTTTGAAGACACTCAAAGTGACTTTATAGGTACCTGTTTGATAAATTTTTCAGTGAGGGGGCAGGTAGAGCCAAAGCTTTTCTGCTGCAGAGTCATGTTTTCTTTGGTCTGAGAGTCAAAGGTTGGATTCTCAATCAGACAGTTCACAAAGAGCCACATGTGGTTCTTCACCTGAAAACCAATGATATACAATGCGACTGTAAAAGATATCCCAGGAATACAGATAGAGATTAAAATTAGATAGAATGACAATCAAATCAAAACTGAAGGGATTTTTTTTGTTTAATTTTAGTTAATGCCGAAAAAATAAATAAATAAATAAATATCTTAATATACAGTATATATATATAAAATTATATATATATATTTAATGATCAAGTGTTAGTGTTCCTGTAGAAGTAAAATATACATATAGTATCAATCGTTCTGTATAAATAAATACCTGAAATGGCTTGACAATAACTCCAGCTTTGTTTTTCTTCTTGACCACATCTATGAGCTTTGAAATGACCTGGTCAGCGACATAGTCAACATGTCTTCCACCCTGGATGGAGACAAAAAGCAAGTGTTATGATTCTTCATTATGACCGTGGCTGGGACAGAAGCCAAATATGTACTTAGCAGTGAAGGAAGCCAGAGTGTATTTCATTTATATCTACTTAAATAGGCACAAGCTTTTACTATTACTATTAAAGACTTAATTGGCACTTTGAATGCCAACAGACCAAGTTATATAATGAAGAAATGAACCCATTCATTTAAGAGACCATTTAGGCAGCCCCTACCAGCCCCTGCTTAAAAGTCATAATGCATGCATCATTTCTCAATAAATTACCTTTGTTGTAGCAATGCTGTTGACAAAGCTGACTTGTTGGAAACCCTTTTCACTCATGGTAAGGCAGACCTCCCAACGCCCATTGACAGCTTCATGGATTACTTTAAGGGGCTCTCCCACCTCATTCACTTTGTCCTTCAAATACAAGTCCACATAACTGCGGAAATCCACAATCTAGGAGGCAAACAAAACTTCTTAATTCTGTATGTGAAACATGCACCTACAATAGTACAAAGGACACATAGGATTATATTAACAGATTACAGATCAGACTGTGTGAGTGATATTTGTGCTGTTTGGTAAAGCAAAACTTACTGGCAGCCGATTCCCATTAAGGAACACACGGACCCCTTTAGTGGAGCCAGCAATATCATAAGCCCTGCGAGTCATCAGAGCAACAGTGTCCTTGTCCAAAATGGTCATCTTGAACTTGGGCAGATCTGGTTTGAAGGTGATGCAAGTGTGATCTTCTCCACTAAAGGGTTTGATGCTGACATCCCCAGCCCTGCCCATGTTGTCATACCAGGTCTATAAAATATATAATCGCTCAAATGTAAGGTATATTGTTTAACTCTTTAGGAAGTCAAGAGTGAAATGTGTTCTCACCTGCTTAAAAGCCTTGCCCGATTCTTTACATGCAGTCTGCACAGTGAACTTGGTACTAAAGATGTTGCAAAGCTTGGCTCCATAACCGTTACGTCCACCTAAATTACAATGCATATGTGTTGAGTGAGTCTATATATGCATGTAAAAGTGAAAAATTGCCCGACCTGTGACTTTCTTCTGGTCGTCATTGTAGTTGCTGGAGGTGAGGAGCTGCCCAAAAATGAGAGCAGGCACATACACTTTTTCAACTTTATGCTCCACGACAGGTATACCCTTTCCATTATTCCAAACACTGATGGTGTTGTTTTCACTGGAAACAAACAAATGGAATTTATTAATTTATTATTAAGTAAAGCAAATACATAAATAAAATTGTATTTACACATCAATGTTGACTTTGATACATGACATGCTCGAATCCCTCTGCTTATTGTCAGCAGCATTTACTGTAAGAGAGATAAAATGTGAGAGGAAAATGTATTATATTAAAAGAGCTTTCACATCAACAAAAAATATACTCACCAAGAATTTCATCAAAGATTTTGTAAAGACCAGGGACAAATGTTATATCACGACAGTTCAATCCCACATCCTCATCATAGACCCACATTTGCTGAAAGGAAACAAACAAACTCTATAAATGATTGTTCCAAATATAATCTAGTCCAGATTTTTCAATGCACCATTTTACCTGTGTAACAGGCTCAACAGAGCCAATGTAGGAGTCTGGTCTAAGCAAAATGTGCTCCAGCTGAGTTTTCTTCTGATAGATCCTCTCCACAGACAACCGTTTTGGGTCCTTCTTTGTCTTTTCCACTGGCTTGTTTTCAAACAGGGACTACATGAAACATAAGGATATGATTTAGTTATATTCAGAAATTGTAGCTTTGTTAGACAGCATTTTGTTTTGCATTGTGAAACATACTTGATTGGATGAATTAAGATGAATACATTAAGATGAATTGAGAGAATATACAACGTGCATTACTGAAAACAAACTATAGTAAAAAAAACTAAAAAAACAAAACACTAAGTGTTCAAATTGCTATGATCGAGGATTTACTGTTACTTTTGGAGACTGTTATAGTTACGATTAGCAACGTCAGCTTAGTAAATATTGTCACGTTTTTAAGAAGAAAAAGAAGCGACACTCTTACCTTTAGTGGCTCTGCCATGTTTTTTGTGCACTGAGAACTTTGCCTAACGAAAAAGTATTTATATCGTAAAGTCAATGAAGGTTTTAGACACCTAACGTAAACTCTTTGAAAGCTGAACAGTCGCGAACAGGACCAGCTCCTCTCACCAGTGTTTTAAAAATTCAAAACGTTCACGGCATTGCTCGCGCCAACCCTGTGGACCAATCAGATGAAAGTCCGCTTTATGGCTTTAACCAATAAAAGCGCTGCTTTTGCTATTAGTGAAGTCGAGACGAATCAGTGAAGTCTATAGAGGCTAAAGCCCGCCTACCTAAAGCCCGGGAACCAATCAACAATGAGTACACGTCATTTTGATTCCTGGATGTGTATCAGAATTACTTCTCATTAAAAAAAAAAAAAAAAAAAGAATTACTTTTCATCCTCAAGATGAAATTCTTCAAACAATCCAATTTCATTTGTAGCCAACCAGCAGAAGAATAGTCATTGTGGATCAATAAAGTTTATCTAAGTGTAAGAAAAAATTAAGTTATGTAAGTTAAAATAAAATATAAGTAAAATATCACTTGCTTTAGATAAAAAAAAAGTCTTTATCAATTAAGCTTTTTTCCCCCCTTTTTTTTAAATAGGGAAATTGTGTACAACCTTATGTCTCAGTGGTTGAATATATTTATTTTTGTTAAATCTAAACCCTTTTCAAATGCTTCAAAGCGTATTTCTTTATAATTTTCTAATAACCATAGGGTAGGTTTGTACTGTTGCCTGTAATTAACCAAACATGTTTGGCCTACATTAATTCACACCACAAATACTTTATAAAATTGCATATGCAAGGCTATCGTAATCGATGAGACAACTAGCCTTTTTCTGACCCTAGAACTCGGTACTAGTGCACACTGTATAAAGACAACTCATAGTAGCCAGCCACGCCACCTGGTCTCTGCTTATTTATTAATGACCCACAATGCTGTGGGCCTATAAGCTGCAGCATCACTGTTAGCCAGAGAATGGCATGGACAGCTGATGTTGATGTAGCTGGTCACTGCTCACTTCACCTGCATCAAACCAGGACATGTTTTAAGAACAGCAGGAAACCAGCCTGGTCGAAATGTGGAAGGTGTGCTAATTGCTCCAAGAGTAATAGTAAATGTTCACATTTATACCCCATATAGTACTTTTCTGCCTTCAAGGCACTTAAAACACTTTATATCAAGGAACCACTCGCTCATTCATACACACATTCATACACCAGTGTACACAGATACACGAGGCAAGGCAGATTAAGTTTCTTGTCCAAGGACACCAACTTGTGGTTCAGAGGATCTGATCTGACCACTCTACCAGGGATGTTCATGCCAGGATTGAGATTCAAGTCCCTGAACTTCAGAAGCTCTACCAATTAAGCTATGCTGTCACCATTATTGGTTAAACTGGAAATTAGGTGCATGTTGTACAGATCTTTAGAGACAAAACACACTTTTCATTGATGGACATGTTAGCTTATAAGCTCTCATAGAGTTGAAAAATATAGTAAGATGTCAGTGAATTGATAACAATGGTAAAAATATATATTTTAGTATTTCCATTCTAGTCTATACATGCATTCATTTTCCTGAATAATGTTTTGATGGTCAGCTCTCCTGCTGTGTCCACATGACCTTTAAGGCTAGCTCTCCTCCCTGCTGACATTGTGAATATGGCGGAAAGACTCTGTAAAGGACAAAGAATTATTAATTACTTGGAAAGGGCAGTAGAACCAGCATCAAGTCTGTGTTGCTAAAGAATGTAGAAGCAGAAAGTAGAAAGTAGAATGTATCAACATTTTATTCTGCAGTTGACAAGCATCAGAATTAAAATACAACATATCTGTACAAAATAATAATTTAAAAAATCTAATAATAAAAAATAAAAAATAGCCCTTCTTGTTGACAGCTATGTACAACAGTAATGGTTATGATAATTGCCCGCAGCACTGATATCAAGCAAATGTCGCTATTGTCTGCTGGTTTCTTGATGACGACATCCAAACAAAATAGTTTATTTGCCACATGTCATAACATGTTAATCAATCTGTGTATTCATCTCCTGTGATACATTTAATAAGTTACATACTAAGGCTTTAATATCAGAGAATATATATGCAGAAATTTAACTGTACCCTTTTCTGACTGTTTTTTGCGTATATCATGACTTTGGACATCAAATGATATAAGGAAGATGACTCAGCAAAAGGGTTAATCCTTTCTGCACAAGTTGTGAGATGATTTTTGGATGAAAAAGGTTCAAACTGTGCAAAAATAATAAATAAATAATTTTGACTGCAACATTGTGCTCTCAAAGACAAAGCAGGACTTTGATCTTAGCACAGACACAGCACAGTGCATAGAAGAGTGAACTGGAGAGCTCCTTTGTTCCACTCCTGTCTTTAGATTTTGTTATGCTTTTTGTACATGCATTGAGAGAGAGAATGTCAGGGGAAAAGGACACTGCAGTAATGTCTGGAAATTTTGCTTACTTTTAGTTGTGGACTTTGATTAATTGAGTATATGTTTTAGAGAACTTAACTTAAAAGCTATAAAAGTGAGTTATTTCAACAAGGCAAAAAAATAAAAAATCTCAGAGCACTTAAGTCTTGTCTATCTGCCTTAACGCTTTACTGATAATACATATGCGCATCTAAATCTGCCAACCACAGTGCAGCTTTTGAAGTAGATAAAGATAGGCCTATAGTGCATTTTCCCCCAAGTGTAATCATGTTTTCCACTTTTTCCCTGTCATATGCTTTTCCACATATCTGATCGTATGGTAATTGCTGAATTATGGGTCCTATAAGGGCGTAAGATTGGCTAGAACTAATATAATGCCATGAACATCACAGGGATGTACGCATAATGTGATAGAGCCTATTAAAAAAACAAAGAAAATACAAAACTGTGTCAGAAATATCCAATAAAGTTGCATTGTTAAAGTGGGGAAGGTAAGATACATTTTCTTTTCAATTAGAGTCATTTAAAGATGCATTGTGTAACTTGTAGAGGGTGTGCCACTTGCTTGTTTTCCCAGTATGGCATTATTGTTATATAACTCCATGAAGAAGGTGCAACAGTTACAGATCTCATCTGTGGTAAGATGGGCATGCTCATAATAATGCATGTTTTTCAAGAGATTTTTAATAGCAATAAAACTCAAGATTTACATACTGTGGGGCATTCCAAGTGATGCAAATACACTTTAATGGAGACAGCAAGTTGCAGACCTACCCCCAAAAGTTATAGCGTATCTTTAAAATAAACAATACACACTGTTCCTTCTGCTGACAGTGTAGAGTACTGTATAGGGGCTATTGATTTGAAATGAGTTAATACCTATGCTTGAAAGCAGAAGGCGTACACTGTTTTCATGTTGGATTAGAGTGGCTGTTCTTATCAGCTGGTAGCAGGCAGGAAAAGGGCCTGGAGACGGGCACAGGTCCTGGAGCAGACAGAAGAGTGAAAACAACAAGCTGCTGATCATACACGATTACACAAGACTCCGGACTATAGAGCCTTAGAGAATTAAAGCATGCAGTCACTCAGGTACTTAGCAACAGGTCATCATTATCAGGAACAGGGTGAGTCACAGAAGCAAAGCAAAGATGGAAAAAAGCTAAAAAAATATATATATATTCAAAAATCCATGCTACCGTTTTTATAAGTTCCTCAAACAATGCATTGCTTTTTCAGATTTTAATCTTTAACATTATTATTATTAGAGACATAGATGGAGTTAAAGCAGAGACCTGGTAGTTGAGTGGTTGAAACCTGATCCACAATATATATAGACTGAGGAAAATCTGATGGAGGAAATGACACAGCCATACCGATGTAGTTACGGTTTAGAAGATATAGATTTTTGAAAATGTCCACTGTACATTTTCTAGTGGGTCGCCACCTGTTTGTCTCCATGATAATGTTATTGCTTTGCCTGAAGTTAAACAGCATGTATGACATTTAACTTATTTATCTCGAGCAGGTCACACTACCAGGTCAAGTTACAGGTCAAATCTGTGGAGAAGCTACCCGCTCACAGTAATAATGCATGTTTTTAAGGATGCAATGTAAAAAAGTAAGATAGCTCAATTTAATGCATAATATGGAGAATTCCAGACAAACCACTAGCATATCGATGGAAACTTAGCAGGTGATGGAGTTTCCTAAAAAAAAAACCATATACATAGTGCTCCTTTTAAATATTGACCTGGTTTCAATTGCCATAAAGGCTATTAACCAACAAAATGAATAGGGTATATATTGGAGAAAAAAACGATACTACGATACAATAAATGACATAAATTAATGTTTGGAGGTTGGTGACGTGAGGAGAGACGCGAGAGAGGTCAGGCAGAGGACAAGGGGGTCTGGTTATTTGAGTTTCTCTCTGTGCGTTTCTCCTGTGCGTAAAATCCCTTGCGCGCCACGGTCTTGCCATTTAAAACTTTGCTTACATATAAATGTTTGATGCGCTCGGCTCGACTTGGGGACATACCACAGCCAGTCACTTGCGCTGCGTCTCTCGCCCTTGGCAGTTGGAGCTGGCTTACTCCTTTACTGGTTGGAAACTAAAAAAGCTGCGCGCACTGACGAAGAGTCTTGAACTGTGGAAGCATTGACAGAGCCGTGGCACGTCCTATCTAGCTTTTCGGACGACCCCCGGAGAATAAATTTGATGGGTTGCAAGAGGGACGAGGCAGCGTATGGAAATAATGCAGCTAATTTTATCGAAAAACTGTTTTAAGTTCGCGGAATAAATAGTTTAATTCTTACGGAGCACCACCATGGAAAGGCGAAGAGAAGCACCAAACACGTGAGTGCACCTATTAGCTTATGTTTTGTTTAGCTTTGTAGTTCAATGGCTGTGGACAGTGGATAAGTTGGAAATAATTTTGCCTATTAGTGCGCCATTTCAAGACATTAAGACAAACTTTACAACCAGGGTATCAGTTCCAAAGAGGCATCGTCTTTATAGTTTGTCCTTTCGAGGTACTTTTCCACAGGTAGCACTTTTAAAAAAAATATTATTAATGCTCAGGAAATTTTCTGTTCTGTTAATGACACCACACAATTGAAGGCAGGTGAATATGGATATAAATCATTTTGATACATAAAGCTGTAAAATTGTAAAATATATCCCAATACAACCAAAACTGGAGGCAACTTCAGCTTACCAAGACTATATAAGTACAATTAGATTCAATGTTGACATAGTTCAAGAAAATATGGTCTTCATTTAAACTGGACATGGGCCAAGCACAGGCTGCGTTTTTGCCCAGAGGAACAGAGGAGAAGTAATGGAGACACCGGCTAAGAGAGTGGAATGGGGCTGAGAGCACCGAGATATGATTACACCTGCATTAAAGCATGTGTTTTCAAGTTAAACCTGTCAGGGGTTAATTTCATCTACCCTGGACTAACTGAATAAGTGGACCAGATATCTGAAGGTATATAAAGACAACACAATTTCATAAACTGTAATGGTGATTTAATGTTGGGAGCAGTTAATTGAATTGCTTCATAATTCAGTTGGCCATCATTTGTCATTAGAAAACATAACGAGTTGAGTATGGGAAAACAACCAGACCAACATGCGATAATGGAGTCTTTATTTTGCATATCATGACATATCTAGGAACTGTGCCATTGTGATAATACAGTACTGTAGGCTTGCAGTAATACATTGCTACTGAAAATACCTAAGGTCACTGACACATAAAGAACAATAATCCTAAAAGACAAGGTACACACAGTATGAGATATTGTTTATCATTTGTTTAAGTAGAGCAGTTACCATGACTGAACACTGAAATTAGAGATCTTCAGTGCTTGACAAGGTTTGTATAGAAAGTTGTTCATGACTACTGAACACGTTTAATACTGTATTTTTTCATTCTTGTTGTTAATTAGACTCCAATCTGCCTTCTACATCTCCCGTCTTCCTCTCCTTGCTGTCTTCTCAGTGTTACACAATGTTCTATGAGTTGTTAATGTAATCTAACTCCCCTCTGATTCAAAGTCCACCACTTTCTCTTGTATTTCACTGACATTGTTTGTGTTCCTCCCTTTTGTACACACAGAAAAATACCTGTCAGATGGTCGGTAGTTTTACTTGCATGCCCCCATTGACTCAAAATGAAATTAGCTTGAAATTAGCCTTGGCCTTTTGATCCATTGAAGCATGTTGCATTTGAATGGGAGGTGCAGTACAGCAGTGCAGGTTTATAATGACAGACTTAATGTTAGCTTCCCCTCCGGTGCATCGCTCTCCATCGGACCAAGCAGCTCATTATTGGGGTTGTCTGGCAGCCGTGTCCATGGCCGTAACACAACAACATTATTAGTCATGTCCTGTTTGACAAATCATTAGCCCCCTTTTCTTTAACATGCATTGCCATTACACCCCGGCCTCTACCCCCCAACGTCATGTGATACTGGCACTTACTTAGAGATCGGTTTCATTTTTTAATCTTGGTAAGTGGATCTTGCTCAGCCTAGGGTCATTTTGGAGCAAATTAAGGAGTCCTGTTAACCTGTGTGGTTTCTTGGCCTGTCTGTACATTGTTTTGGTAACTGCTCATGTTGAACAATGAATACTAATTAGTCTCTTATGGAACCTTAATGAGATACCAATGAATCTACATTTTCTCAGATTGAGTGAATTGGAGCATTGTAGACTATGATCGACAGATGCTACAGTTTTTTTCTGTGGGTAAAAGTGTGTTTTGTTGTACACTTTTTGTATTCTAGTCGGTGAGCACTGAAATAGGGTTGTACTACAGAAATGTCAATTATGAAGAGGAACAGTGACACCAAAGGATCTTCCAGCTTGTTTTTTGTGCTGCTGTGGAGGGGCTGTTTGATCTTGCAACTTACCCACTTGCACAGAACAACAGTCATTTCTCCCAACAAACATGATGAAACCAGCATGAAAAGCTCCCAAGTTGGCTGCAGATACTGTTCCTCTGTGTTATGTAATATTGTTGCTTCTATAGAACACCCTATGTACTGAATGAATTGATACTCTACTATGATGTTCTTTGAGCTTTCCCTCACTTCAAATGACTATATCCTCTTGGTGTGTTTCAGAGAGAAATGCTACTGTGGAGGCTGATGTGAGCTGCACACAGGGGTCCTGCTCGAGGCATGCCCATGGTGCACTATGGCCTTGCTGGCGGACTGGCTCTTGCGCCATTCAGTGGTCATGTGTTTACTGCTGCACAGCCTGGTGCTAATGACCTTCTGCTTTCACCATGCTGCCACAAGCTGCTCTAAGAACTGCTACTGCACTGAGAGCGACAACAATGGCATAACTGTGCGCTGTAGCAAACTACATCTAACCGAGATCCCCCAAGACCTTCCCAATGACACCAGACGCATTTATCTGGACAATAATTCTATTAAAAAAATACCAATGAACGCATTTGCAGCTCTGCCACATTTAGTTGAACTGGATCTATCACACAATGAGTTAACACAGCTTGAACCAGGGGCTTTTCGTGGACTGGGATCATTACAGATTTTAGATCTTTCATTCAACAAGTTAATGAACTTTAAGGCTGAGCCCTTTGAGGGCTTGAGGGCTCGTGCCAACCTCACCAACAATCCCTGGCATTGTGACTGTAACCTGCAGATGGCGCTGCTGCGTGTGGACCTGGAGCCTGCTTCTCTTACAGGCATCGTGTGCCACACTGCTGAGCCAGAAGAGATAGGAGTCCAAGGGCTGGCCTTCCTGCTAGCACCAGACATAGACCTCTGTCTTTATATGAGGAGGACTACAGATGTGGCCATGTTGGTGGTCATGTTTGGCTGGTTCACTATGGTCATTTCCTACCTGGTTTATTACGTCCGAGCTAACCAGGAGGATGCCCGCAGACACTTGGAATATCTAAAGTCTTTGCCCAGCAGACAGGGCAAATCTGAAGAGTCTTCCACCATTAGTACTGTGGTATAGCACCTAAAAAGTCATTGTGTGCATGGACAGTCAGATCCAAGGTGGGAGACTATCTATCTATCAGCTGGAATGGAAAACAAGGCAGATGCAACCCAGAGCCAATGAATGATTCATGTGTCGGAGGCCCATTAAGGCTAGTGTGGCTTAAGCTGATGGGCCTATGTCAAAGGAGTAAAAGCAGCAGGACAACTTGGTGTACTCCAGTTTTGGAAATCTAAATGGAATATACCCAGTGGTGCATGTGCTCAACGCTCTTCTATCTTATTCACACGTGCTATTGAACCAGCCACGTGTAACAGCAGCCACAAACTGCTCCTGTATTGTCAGACTGCAGGAGTATGCTCAGTACAATTTTACAGTATTTAATAATCTACAAATTATAATCAGTAAAATGTTTTGACTAATGTGTGGGTTTCCTCTTGGTGCCATTGCAGAAGTCTACAAGATAATGTTTTATTATAGCTTTTACTTCAGTAATAACAATGCTTCAGTTAGCACAGTGGTATTGTACTCACAGTTTTAAAAATGTAATTTGGGAGATATATTTTTATGAGCTGATTTTGTGAAATTGTGAATTTCTATATTCACTGATTATGTTTATGAATAGAATAAAAATATTTCTGACTACGGACAGACAATGTATGTTGTGCCAATTTAAGTTTTGTTCTCAATAAACTAGATAATAAATTCCACTTGGAATTGAAGCCTTCATATAGCTTTGTAGACAGAGATCCTTATCCTCTATTTTTAGAAGGTTACATATTCCTCAAGTAAAATAGTTTTGTAATCGATACAGTGCAAAGACCCTATAAACTGAAATATAAGCTTAGTGGACATAAACCCACTAACCCTTTAAATTAGAACATTTGTCCAGTGTGGTCACTTCAAGGACATTGAACATTTATACTGACTTGGCTGGAGGAACAATTTGAAAGCTCTCCCTGAATGTGAATCTCTTTATTTCTGGTGCATTTGCATCTCCTTTAAAACCGACATCAGTGGGAGCATTGAGAAAAATGTGTTTCATGCAGAGATAATTGAATCAGACTGAGATCACACTGGCAGGATTTTGTCTTTTCCTTTCAGTGAGGTAAGAAGTCCACACCCTGCTGAATAATGAAATCTGATGTTTCGAGATGTGGAAAAAGGATTGTCAACAAGGGTATCCCTGTCTCAGACACAAATGTCTCATGAGCAAGGCCTGGCTGTTAAATAATGCATGACAACACTCGAGAGAAAAGTCTGGGAATGCACCTGTCATGTTTGTTTGACCTACTTCTTATTTTGGAAAGGATGCACTGCTCTGTGCTGCTTTTTTGGTATAAATAACTTTGCAGGTGTCAATACGGTTATCCAAATGCAGTGTCCAAAAAGCAGCTCAGAGCCCCACCTTGACTCCTGCAGATTTTATACACTACTGGCTTTTCAACCAGCATTTCATGCTACATTTGCTTTGCTATAGCTCATTATACTTACACTAGTATAATGCTAGACCATCCCTGGCTGCAGGATACTAGGCCCACAATACACTCGTCATCATTTTCCAGTCAGAATCTGTTTTTTCTTCGTGCTTAATCTTACTGCTGGGAGTGAAACAAACAAACAAACAAACAAACAAAACACAAAAATACATAGAACCGGACATAAACATCACCGATGCCGCTCTTTCAACTCGTGTGCGCTTCTTTTGTTCATCTGGATGTACGACAGGTGTGTGTGCATAGTCCCAGCGAGGGTACTCTGGTAACACAACACCCCGGTTCCCAAGCGCACACAAATGTCGCTGAGGTTAATTTAAATTTCTGAGCAGCTCGCTTTGCCCTGCCCGCTGCCTTAGACACGTTACACTGGTGTGAGCATTACAAGTGCGGGGTAATGGGACACAAAGTGGAGGATAAGGTGACGCATCCAATCTCACAGAGCGCCGCGCGCACTGGGTTTGGTTACATGTGTTTCTTGGCTCCTTGTCCAAAGGGACCATTTCTCACAAAAAGTAGATAAATTGCACTAAGAAATCGAAATAATTAAGTTTAATTGAACAGTAAATGATAAAGTATATATTTTATTTTTAACTGAGCCAAATGAAAGGCACAGGAGCCTATCTCTCTTGCAGCGCCCTCTCTTGGTCAGTGTTAAAGAGGAAGGAAAACATGTAAAAATGTATTTAAAATGTCATGAACTTGACTTAATCTGTCTGTGTCTCCCAGATGCGAGGTAGGTATATTTGTTCAAATCAAATATAGCTTTCTGATAACAACTGGAATGTTAATTTATTCTTAATTATCATACAAAAACATTGGACATGGTGTCACACATTTATAATATAATAAGGTGTTTTAGTTCTCAAGACGCTTATTCAATCAGAATGAAAAATGAGCATTAGTCACGTAAGTCTCATTTGGGTTGAACGTTTCCGCGTTAAAAGTTGTCTAATCTACAAATGCCTCTCTGATCTGAATCATCACTTCCTAAATCTGTATAAGCCTTAGTGTTTAATGATATAAATTAAGAAACCAGATCATTCTTATTTCCCCAGTAAGCAAGCAAAACCCACAGCAACAAGAGCAAAAAGGTCAAAGGTCAACTCAGCATGATCAGCAATTTAAATGAATATTTTCCTTGTGCATCTTTATTTGAGAACTGAACAACTAGTTTAGTTAAGTTATTGTTTCCATGGGGAAATTTGTCCTCTACATTTGACCCTTCAATGCAGCAGGGGCACCTCATCAGGAGCAGTGGGGTACCCATCTCTGATCTTGTTATTAGGTTTGGGGACAACATGCACAGAAAAGAATTGAACCTGGAATCTTCTTGCGTGTGAGTGATAGCTACTCAAGTTCTCTGGCAGGTGAGCTAAAGAAGCCCCAAAGAAGTATTTGAACTTTTATGCTCATTCTAATGAGCATAAAATAATGTAAAAATAATATTTAGAGCAGGGAGTGTTTCATGTCATGTTTTTTATGCTTTATAATACATTTATAAAAATCATTTAAATTAAGTTATAATATTCATATTTTTGTAGTAGCTTTTCCTGTTATTGGGGCCATTTAAATAACTTTTAACCATTAAAACATATAATAACCTATACTTTATTTTTTATTTTTGTTGCAATGATGGAGTGATAGAAAGAGTCAAATAGAAACTTTTTTTTTTTTTTAACTTCAACTCCTATGATGCCACAGTGGCACATACACTTCTTCTTTTTACCCCCCTCAGCAAAACTGTTGCAACTAGTTATTCACATCCTCCAATTTCCAAAAGCCTTTAAACTCCAGAAGAAAAGGGAAGTGAAATATTTCCTAAATCTTATAATCATCAAGTTGTTGGAGTTGCCTGGACATGCCCTCACAAACCTCTCCAAGCCCTGACTTGCCTTTGGCAAAGCTTCACATTGTTGCCTCTGTAAGAATATGTGGGTCATATGGAGCTACATAATGGGTGCATTATTTTGGCATTGATTGGAGGGAGCTTATTGTAGGGATTGCAGGGATCACAGCTCCACTCAAATGGGTCTGTCTCATTGAACATTTTCTAGCAGTAATATTTGTAGTAGTAGGCAAAGAAACCCTCGTATAACATTTTTGCAGATGCAGTGTGGGTCCACAAGGTGGTGCTGTTAATAATTGTAGCAATGTTGAAATACTTTTGTGTAAGGAGTTTTTAATAATAATATGTCACTTAATCTATGTTTATTTAGAGTATTTAAAAATAATTAATATCCCAGGTATGGATCTGTGTCATCTTGTAAGACAAGAATAAAACAGAACAAAACCTTTCTCTTTTTTATAGAGCCAAATGCTCAGTCATTGTGACATCACAATATCACAAGGGTAGAAACCCAGGACTTCCTCTCAATAAAAATAATCTGATAGTAACAGCATAAGCAGACACTTTCAATTTCCACAAAGTTGTTAAAGGAAATGCCTGCTTCCTTTGGGCCCAGACATAGAATCTTAGGCACTAATGACTACTAGAAATGAAAATCTAACTTCCTTTTGAAAAAAAAAAAAAAAAAAAAAAGTAATGACGTCACACATGAGCTGTAAATTGTTGTGTCCTGATGTGATACGTTTGTAATTTTCACAGAATCCTTGTGGTTTCATGGGGAAACCCAAATCTGCACAAACCAAGAGCTATATATACCCTGAGACAGCATTTAAAGTGTCAGTATAAACTGTGAAAAGCGTCCTCTCAGATCAATAGTTACAGACATTCCCCTGACAGAGGTCATGAACATCCTCACTGGTAAGTACTGCTCCTCCTTGTATCAGTCTCCTCTTCTGAGACATTGGATTACCCTCTGGACAATTTTGAGATCTCTTTTTAAAATTATATATTTAGTCATGGGCCTCTGCATTTGGACAGATTTAATGGTTGAGTTGAGTTTCACTTTACAGGCAATATTCTCATCTCCAGCACTTCAGCTATTTTGGCCTGGAGGGAGGCATGCCCAGTACTGCTCTCACTCTCTCTCTCTCTCTCTCTCTCTCTCTCTCTCTCTCTCTCTCTCTCTCTCTCTTTCTCTCTCTCTCTCTCTCTCTCTCTCTCTCTCTCTCTCTCTCTCTCTCTCTCTCTCTCTCTCTCTCTCTTTCTTTCTCTCTCTCTCCCTCTCTCTCTCTCTCTTTCTCTCTCACACACACACAAACATAGTGCAGAGAGAGGCTGGCTTTGTTCTGCCTCTCCCACATGTCCACTGCAGCTCCGTGTCTATCTGGCTGCTCTATGTGGATGTGTCTTTGTTGATTTTCCTCTTGTTATTTTGGTTGCAGTGTGCATGAGCGTTCTCTCCTTCATGGCCACTATGACGCACTGTGCACCTGTCTTTGGTGTTACTGCACTTGTTGACCAGGAGAAGTTTCAGGATTTAGTACAAAAGAGCCACAGTTTGATACAAAAGATCTTGCTCTCCATTTCAGATGTGCATAGTTCTTCTGTTCATATTAAGGTAAGCCTTGGTTGCATGTGTTGCATGTTTGTAGGCACCGCTGCATATGATATCAAATGACAAGAACAGCCAATAAAATGATAATCTCTTCATAACTTGTTTTTGTCTTGTCATAGACACTGAAGCTTAACTCTCCAGAGAACAGAAATATGGAGATAATGGCCTCTGATATTGGCATTCCAAAAGCCCCTGTTCTTAGAGTGGTGTCAGAAAACTGCTCTCTGGTAAGAATCTCCATACACATGACTTTAGAGTAGATCATACCATACTAAATACTTTTTTCAGTGTGGTAAAAAATAATTGGCAGTGTAATTCATAAACACACATCCCTTTGTACATGGAACATTGTTTAAATGCATATATTTTACATTTTATCATTAAATGTTTGTCAACAAAGCTGCAGCAAACTAAGCTATGGTTATGTATAGTTTGTTCAGTCCATTTATGAAATAACATGATATAAAGTAACAGTCAAAACAACAGATTGAGATGTTGAATTCTGAATGGCATGTATGTGTGTGTGTGTTTTGCTTGGACAGGAGACCAGTGTGAAGCACATGTCGGAGGGCCTCCAGTTACACCGGGAGCTGCTGAATGCTGTCATGCCTCACCTCAACAATAATATGAAAATGGCTGAACTGTCAAATGACATTGGCGACTTGGACCTGCAAATCCACAAGGTATTAAGCACACATTACTGCTAAAAGCGAAGACTAAGGTTGCATTATATTATGACTGTGACAACCTTGGTATTTCAGATGCTGGAACTGATCAAGAATACAACTGTGCCCACCCCCATGCCACAGCCTGTGGTGCTCCGTCTCTCTGAGGAATATAAAATCCAGGTGGCAGCCCACTTAACCCTGGTGCAGCTGAGTGACTTTGGGCAGGTTGTGGTGGATTGTCTACACAGCATGGAGCACAATGAGGAAGAGGAAATAGACAGCTGACAATATTCAACTGAGATTTTTTAACACATTTTCAGTAATATGTCATATTTATTTTTAAAGGTATTTATTTTTTTTACATAAACTATGTGTATTTATTTATTTATGTAATATTTATTTAAAGGTGCATTGTGTAACTTTTCTGGTGGAGGATCAATCACAGTACGGTATTAAACTTTTCTATCGTCATGAAGACCAAACCTGACTAAATTACTTGCTAGATCTGTTGAGAGGCAAACCATAAAACCACGTGTAATTGAATAAATGTAAGGTAGAGCTGTTTAATACCATATTGTTGAAAATTCCAGACAGAGCAGTAACATATCCACAGAAACAAGCAGATGATGGACCTTCACCAACAAAGTTACACGTGGCAAGTGTTTTTAATAATTCAGACTTGGCTCATTGTGTTTTAACAAGAACCAGCTCTTTTGACCATGTATCACCATGTTATGTATTTTATATAGCTCCGCCAAAAACATCTCACATTAACCTTGAAGAGGTTGCCATTTTGTATTATTTGTGATATTTTTCATAAAAATATTAATATCTTTAAGCAATAAATAAGTTAATAAGATGTCTGAGTGGTAAATTCTTTGAAGCACTGTATACCTGTTTTTCACAAGTTCTTGAAGTTTTTAGAGACATGGAGTGTATTTCACATGAAAGCAGTGGGAGTATTGCTCCACACTGATGACCTGCAGTTTGTCAATCAGATGAGGGCACCTCTGTGTTGTCATATGCTTCAGTAACATGTGATCAGTCATCTGACTATGACTTCACCTTTTCCTACTGACTAGTGCAAGTTTTGTTTAAACTTGGGAATTAATTACTTCCTTTAATAACACTGAATAACAAAACAAATGGAATGGACTTTTACAATGGATTTTATTAAAAATAAAAAATATATATTTATAGTTTTGAAACACATTTTAAACCAAAAGTAGTCAATACATATAAATATTCACTTAGATGTAACCATGTTTTTTCGCACTTGAATATAAAATGTATCAGTCATCCCGGTAACACTTTTCACAAGGCAGAGATGGCTTTGGCTGCTACTCTCCTCCCCAGGGGCAAAGACAGGTCTGTGATGGCTAAGACAACTTTTGGTTTGGCAAGAGCAGGCAGCTTCACCAGCTCCGAGACCTGTACATAAAGACACACAAATTTGAGATTAATCCGTTAATCTATTTCTGAAAATATAATAGGTATATATACTTAATCTATGGGGTATAAAATATCATAATAATAATAACCCTAACCCTAAGTATTGTGATGGAAATTTATATTGTGGTCTGGGTCTCTACATGACGAGAGAAAGAGGCAGAAAGGTTGTTTGTCTCTGGCCAGGGCAGTCTTTGCCCTGTCTATATCTGCTGTAACAAAGAATAATAAACCTTTGTATTCCAAAAACTCACCAAGCTTTGCTTAATTACTAATTCTTCAAGAAAGATATATAATAGATATTTTTTCCACAACGACCTACACGACGAGGAATGCTAAGAATTGCCAAATTAAGACCAGCAGAAGATGTAACAAGGTAGGACAAGCCTTCCTTATCACTTCTCCAGTAATACATCTTTCTTATCTGAACATGACTGCCTGACTCTCTACTACTCACCATGGTAAAGGGCATAAACTGTAGAATGCTTCCACGACTTCCCTGCTCCAGGCATTCACACTCCTCAATAAAACTCTGCACAAACTGGGTGTGAGGCCCAGCCATCTTTGAGCCAAGGATTGAAGAAATCAGGAGGAATAGGTTGGCTGAGAAGAAAATGTATATTAAGTCTGAAAGTATTTTACAACATTCAGTAACATCAGACACGTTGGGTTTTGATTCAGGTGTGCTGAAAAAGTTGGTAATTTATAATACAATTATGCAGTAGCCTTCTATTACTAGGATTAGTGGTTACATTTTAAGCATTTTTACTACATACCCAGGACTCTGTTTAGAGGGTCTCTCATATTCACAGTGTGGAGCTGTGACGCAGACAGTGAAGTGCTCATGGACCGATCTCCTATATATAGATAATCACACAGAAACAAATGTAAAAGGTTGTTTTAAAGAAGGCAATGCCCAAAATTTCAAATGATGACTTTCACAAATTATATAATGTAAATACATTAATGTAAGATATGTTTCTTGGGTTTCAATAATAGCTAGGATTTCTTGGTGAGAAAAAAGATATGTGTGCCCTTAGGGCAGGTTAAAACCTGCAAGACTGTTAGATAAGAAATTCTGCTTCCTGCTTGTAACTAAATTCCACATCAGAAAGTAGATTTCATAATCCACATCTCAAAAATATGAACATTGCTGAATCTGAAACTTACCAGGACTGGAAAGGGCTACTGGCTCATCTTCATTCGAGCTGAGCAAACGCATGAGTTTAGATGGTTGTGTGTCATCCAAAGGAAAGAGGCTGTTGTAATCCTGTGGATGAAGAGAAATTCTACAGTAAGAGACTCTACAGCAAGACTTTCGCAATATTTGTGTGTAAGGTTAATTGGGTGGGCACACCAATCACACAGCAACAGTCAAGTCTGTATGAAACGCCAAAGGTCAAGCGCTCAAGCAACCCACAAGCATCAATACAGAATATTGTTTGTGAAAAACATACAGTGAAGCCCTTTATGCATAGACAGGGGAGATGTCTGTGCTTTTCTCTCAACTGGATGTAACAAAAGTTTTATTTTTTTGGCTTGTTCCATTGTTGTGATGCAGATTCAAATAATCATCATGGTGTTCTGCATTTTCTGATCGCTTTCAGTGAGAGACATCCCAGACTGATAATGTATAGAACTGTGCTACACATATCAATCTGGTTACTATGGAAGTATAATACTCCCTACAACTGAAGCATCGCCAGATTGGACTGCAGTAAACTGGAATGGACAATACTATCACAGTGTTCTGAAGGTTTACGTTTCCGAGGGCATGCCTGCTGGACGTACTGATGGTAAATTATCTTTTCCTGTGTTAAAACTCCAGCATCATGCCTCTTCTCTTCAACTCGGGCTACTACAGTTTATTCTGCAATAGTGACATTTAACACTAGTGTTAAATGTCACTATATATGCTTGAACAAATGTCAGACAGCAGATAGCATCTCATGAGAGGCAAAACACTCTTCTATTACCTCAATATCCTCCCGCTGTCTCTTACGTTGGCGAGCTGATAACGGGCCTTTATGTTGAGAAGAGTAAGAGCTGAGTGCACACCACACAGCCAACCTAATTTGTGGAAGAACATTTCATTTTAAAATAGGATAGAACATTTTAAACCACAATTATAGAGAACATTGTAATGGCTTTATACTTTGCCAATGCCTTTCCCGGTGGGTCAGCCAGGCTGTGCCAGTGGGCTGAGTCTGTGAGCAGGTTGGGAAGAATGGTGCCAAGCAAAGTCAGTGTGATCTGATGAGTGTCCAGACAGAAGATACTGTAGAGGAGCTCGACCACCCGATTGGCCCACTCCTGACGAGTCTCCTTTAGCAGCTCCTAAAATCGCAACATACTTTTAAGATAAGCCAAAAAAGCAAGTAGACCGATATAACAAACATTTGGTGTGGATCGAGTATACTAAACTCAAAATACTGATTCAAGACTCAGTTGGGTTCTGAAAGTTGCAACGAAAGGGAAATACTGAAGAGTTAATTTGCAAAAGTGCCATTTGAAAAAGTCATCGGAGGTTCGTAGTTTACTGCAGCCAAATCTACATTACTGTTATCAAAATATTATTGCATCCCTTATTGATAAAATACGCTATACATTATTGTAATTGCTAAAATCTCTAGAATATGGTAACAAAAAGACAAGACACTTTTTGGCAATTTTCCAAACGTAGTTATCTGCTTTTGCTATTGACTTCTTCATTTATGTATATATTGTATTCCTTATGTTCTGTAAATGAAAGTCAAACTCATTCTTCCTCTAATTACTCATCTGTGAATGTTTGAATAAACACAATAGTTAAACCAAAACCAAATGTCCGTCCACAAAAAACGAAACAAAGAAATGCTGTAAATTGCTTCATCATTTGGAAACAGGTACCTGGAGGGAGAGAGGTTACACTTGCCCTTGCATAATGGTTATTTTAAAAAAAAAATATATATATATATATATACACACATATACATGTGTGTGTAAATATATATATAAATAATGTATGTATGTATAAAATATATATACATACATACATACATACATATATATATATACACACACACACATATATATATATATATATATATATATACATACATACATGCACGCACACACACGCACACACAAAAATTAAGTTAGTAATTTGTGTCATAGAAAGTATATATATATTTATATTTTAGATGGCACTTTTTTGGACACTCACTGCATTGCACTAAAGTCAATACCCATGGTACTTTGATGGTTAACTACAGCTGCCCTGGGGTTGACTGACAGTACAGCAGCTACCAATGTACATCAACAGCATTCCGAACCACTCATATACCATATGGTGCTGCCAATTGCTCAAAGACACAACAACAGTACATACTATTTTCCAAATTACCAACATTATGATAAATAAACTAACCTTAACTAAATTATTAGTAAACCAGAAGACCCCTCCCATGTTCAGGAGACTCTCAAAGAGATGCAGTGCTCGACTGTCAACCCATCCTTTCCGTAAAACTGCCTGGAACTGTTGACTCAAAGTAGCATGAATCGGTTCCTTGGTTGGTAGAAGGTTGCGGTATGGGATGGGTTCATGACCTTCCACTGGGGGGCGCAATGTTGCTCCTGTTTGCTGAAAGATGTCTGCACACATGTGTTCCATGATGGAACTCATGATTATGACACTGGAGTGAGAGAAAGGGAAATTTAAAATGAGTATTTAGCATGTGTGGATTATAAATGCTGCGTCATACCGTTCATTGTAAAACTGATGTGTATTTTCTCCATGATACAGAGGTGTCACAAGATGTCGAATCATTGTCTGTGGCTTCTCCCTCTCATCTCGGCCCAACATTCGGACATGAGCTACCAGCCACGCAACAGCACAAATGGCCATGCTACATACTTTCCCCTTTATGTTATCTGTTATCCTCTACACTTGCAGAGATGTGAAACAGACAGAAAGAAAGAAAAGAGAAGGATGTGCTGAAAAAGGGGATTCTTATTAAAAACATTCTTCCATATTGTCATGCATTGCTACAAATGACAAAGAAAGTGGAAATGACACAGCATCCTTCTGCATTTTTGAGTAACTAAAGACAATGTCATTTTCCAAATATGTCCCTTCTGAGTAGTGTCTTATGCTGTGTGAGAACTTTGAGTTATTTCTTAAGCAAAATAGCAATATTAAGTACAATACAGTACAAAGAATGGTTACCTGCACAGCCTCCACTGAAAGCACACCATTCTCCCAGGCATTCAAAACTTCTAAGATGGCTGCTGGAATGTTCAGACAAATTTCATGCCATTTCACCTGACTAAAAAAACAACAGAAACTGGATTGTGATTAAAAGAAACTGGTAATAACACAAATATGTAGCAAGGAAAAAGCTGAACTTACACTAGCTTCATTTCAGAGGA